ATATACAGTTAGACAGAAAACAAATTGACATGAACTAAGGGTATGCAATTACCCAGATAGTCTAAACCTTTAGTACCTTGTAAATTACGAAATTTTCTTTGAGACATTTCTATTCCAAACATATTCTGAGATGCAAACTTAACATTCCTTTTCCTACACTGCACTTTTAATGGAGATACAGACCATCAAGCTTAAATTGGTAGTGAAATTCTTCTTTTTGGCAATATAATGCACATAAAAACTGGGGAAATCTGTTTATCATTCATAAAGTATGTTCTCTCTATCTCTTTAATTGGATGTGTGTGAAATCTGTGAATAAATTTCTTTATAATGAAAAACTTGAAAAATCGAGACATTTACATTGTACCATCCCAATGATAAACAAGGCTGTAAACTTTCGCGAAGTCAGACAGTTTAATATGCAAAGGTATATAATATATATATAAACCTCAAGCTCAATGCAAAACGAAGTGTGTCACATAAAAATTCTCTGATGAGCAACCAAGCATTTCTTTCTTAAAATACATCTGTTACAAAGATTAATTTCTCTATTAAGAAAAAACACTTTTCCCCTAAAAATGGCGTAAATTTCACATGTGTGACCATGGTTCTCTTTATCTTAGAAATCAATGCCATTCCCGTGTGTCTCCATTGCAGGATTTACACGGTTTTCGACCTTCCGGTCCAGAAAACGAGCACTTAAGAATTAATTTTCACCTTCCGAATAAAAACGGATTTTTAGGGATGATTAATTATCGTGTCATTCAAACACCCGTCTCAACGTCTTTCAACAAACACCTTAAAATTTTGTATCGTACATTTTTCTTGACTTTAAATTTTCAAATATTTTTTAAAGAACAAATTTTAGGAGCGTACACAGACATCAAGGTACAAAAGCGATTCATCATGCATACAATTTTATACACGATAAACTCTGAAGAATTTGTGTAAAGTTAAACTGAAAAGGACAAATAGTCTGCTTACCAAGTAATTATAGGTCCATGATGAAGTGTTACTGTGCACACTCTGATCAATTTAATGTTCGCTCCTGCGTGTCATCAAGCCAATTAACACGGAATGAATGCACACCTAGTCAAAGAAGACCCGGTGCATGCAAGCAGCCGGTATCTGTGGTAGTAGCGATGTATCTAACTTAAAGGAAAACCACTGACCCACTACCTTAGTCGAGATTTCCTTTTTTCTGCCCCCTTGACAAAGACCTCACTGAAATCTCATACCTGGTTTGTCGGAGAGAGATTGCCAAGAAGGTGTGCTCTGTTTATCTAAAGTTGGGGGAATTAGCGAGAGCTTTGTCGCCTAATAGAGAGAAACTCGAACGGATGATACACGGCGTATTGAGGGATAGAAGCAAAGATTTACCTTTCAATAATCTTTTCCAAGTTTTTAAATTGGGGGTTTTATTTCCAAGGCTATGTCTCGTTCGGCCACTTAAACATTTGCAATTGAAATAAATTAAAGGTAAACTTTATTGAAATGAAACTTTAGATTGGTTTTATTGCCCTTTATCGAAAAGTAAGCGATTTAAGTCGTCCGAGAAAATTAATAGGGACATTCACATGCGTAAATTTGAATGAGGGGAAAAATTGAGCGAAGTAATAGTTTCATGTTTCCAACGAAATCGAATCTATAAATATATACATTATTAAGAGTTTGTAAGAATATCTCGGTTTACAACTTGATTAAGTGTTTAGGTATATCTTACGTGGAATTTGATCTTTTTCACCATATAATTCAATCACTTTATAGATCAAAATTAAAGCTTTACATTCAAACTAAACTCTTTTTCCATCTGATTGAGCGTTTAATCCCATATACTGGTTTCTGTTGACGGAACAATTTTTTCTAATTTTTTTTTTGTTTTTGTTGTTTTTTGTAGATATTTTATTAAAAATTCGCTTTATGAATTTCTGTGTGTTTTACATGTATGATCCTCTTATATACACATGTACTGTGTGATTTTAAAATGATTCATAGCTCTTAATTATAATAAGTTTGGCTGAAATAAGTAATTCTAGAAACCTTATAAATCATGATATAAGCTGTTATATGTTCACCTTCTTCAGACCTCCCAAGAAATCAAATTATTTTTTTTTCCACACTGTATCAAAATTAGTTTGAAAACTTCCAAAATATTTAATTGATTGAAATTCTTTCAATCACTGTGTTTTGGCAGACCTTCAACATTTCAGTTTAATTAAGAGACACATTCAATACTTAGTGTTATTTTCAATATTCAGAAAAAGAGTGAAAAATAGAAAATTTAATTTCATTTATTCAGTTTTTGCAATTTTTCAAAGAAAAGTTTAATTATTTATACAATGCAAACCAAAACTATGAGTTACTGTTAGAACGTCATACCATAAACCAATTTATTCGCGAGCGATTAATATTCACATATTCATAAGACCTTACTTTCTATTCGTGAACTATTTATCTCATTTTATCTAGATGTGCAATATTTCCTCAGTCTTAAGCTTGAAACTGAATAAATTTGAAACTGACAAATCGCGACTAAAAGTTGTTGCGAATCTTGAATTATATGTACTGCATGATATATAGTTGTCAACAGATAAATATTGATAATCCCAACTTGTGCTCGAAACATACGAATGTAGAAAGAAAACATTCATACCAAACTACTTTCTTTAATTTATTTAAAAACTAAAACTTTTGTGCTACTTACATGTACATGTACAAATGTGTGTACAACTGTATCAATTTTCTTTCGTCTTTTGTATTAAAGTTACTGTGCACTTCATTTGCATCTGGTTTCGTTAAAACTAAAGTCTAGTGCAAAAACATATTCTGTGCACAAAAGCTAAGTTATGCTTTATTTATAATTTCTGCGCCAATGAAGTCATAATATTTAGAACAGCTGGCGCACAAGTAACTTGATTTCACTGGAACGCAGTGACGCCCGAAAACTCGATACAGACAGAAGCAGACGTTAAGTTCTAGTAGCGAAATCTACACGGTTGTTCCGATATATGATTTGAAAAATGATCATAGCCTTGATATACAAAACCATGTTGTCTCGCTTTATTGAATCGGGGAGTGAGTAAGTGCTGTAATCTCCATTAAATAGGCGTTAAATGTCATATTTTATGTCCGCGAGGAAACGATGACACACGGTCACCTTCGGCCATTATGTGACGTCATAATGGATGTGTATTGAACTAAAAGTTATAGATGCTATTATTAGTTTTTTGTGCACCCTATTATTTTCATTGTCCGTGAATTAAATAAGGGCTGTTGAAATGAAATGAGAAAAGTATCCGAAGGTGACCCCGAATCTTAGAAGGATAAATTTCCCACGAGTGTTTTCATTAAATTTAAATCTTTCTTCCATATTAGATAGGGGGATCATTCTTCAAAGACGATTTTAATCAATATGGTATTGAGTTGACCAAAGATGAAAGGAAGAAAACTGATAAGACTAATCCCTAAAAAATAATTTAGTAGTTCTTGATTGTAACATGATTACCAAGACTATATTTACTTTTTCATGTTAATTTATCGAGGGAATTCTTCAAAAACCACCAAAGTTTTGGGGAAAAGAATGTTTAAATTTGGGCAGGTTTATTTTCTGCGTAAAGGTTTGTTTTTCGACTTGTTTCTTACGCGTGGCTGTGTCGTCATGAATTAAACACAAAAGAGGCATGGCGAATTTTCACAGGTACAAACTCTTCTGTGAAACTTAAAGCCCTGCTCAAATATTTACAAAGTTTTAACTTAATCATACTTTGAAAAATCGTTATGGAAACAATGGGTTTGAACCACATAGCAACAGTTTTATATCCATTTTAAACTAAAATAATTTTTCTCCCTTAAACTCTCAATATATAAAATGGGATACACTTTTTAAAAATAAAAAATCATTTTAAATACTTTATCATAAGATGTTTCATAAATATAGGACGAAATTTGAAAGTTTGGTGTCAAAAATGATTTTGTAAACACAAGCACGGGATTAAATGTTCATTTTCCCCTTCAAATATTTGTTTTATATTTCCCTTAATACATCGCTGCTCTTTTTGTTAAATCTACCTGTACAAAAACGTAAAGATAGATGTTTTATTAACAACCGCTATGCAAACAGGATGGAAGAAAAAAGCTCAAGAGTAAACCAACTTAAAAGGCTAAATGTGAAAATGAAGTAAACAAAGATCTTCATCTTGTCGGAAGAGAGAAATTGATGACCCAAAGTAACGCATTATGAAGTTTGAAACACGACAGCATGTTAATTTAGGAATCTCTAATAAGAAGATTATGAAAGGGAAGCAACTCACTTTTGTGTTAGGATATACTTGAAAATTTATGAGAATCTTAAAGAAGAAAATTGCTATGTTAATAAACAATGCAAATTCGTTACCTGTCATTTTATAAATAAATAAACAAACAAAATGAAATGTTTCACCATCTTATAACTAGTATTTAAACATATTCGTCACGTCTCGACACTTGTAATTACATATTATAATATAGTATTGTCTATGAAAATGAACAAAATTATCACAAGCACATGCAACAAATCGATAAAAAAAATATTCAAGGGATGTTTTTTAAAAAGAGAGCCCTAACTAAAAAAAATCTTTAATCTTACCATTTCGTTATTAAGCGTTGTCATTAAATCCTCCATTTGGAGACCCTTGTATCCGATATGTCGATTTCACTTCTATGTCAATTTCAGTTTCCTACAACTTATCTTAGAGACAATATTCTTGTTTAATATTATTGCCAGAAGGTCATAGTCAAGAAATTTTCAGTTATTAATTTTACAGTTAATATATTTTAAAACATTGACATGTGTCCAGTTTATTGTTTTATGTTAACGGGTACATATGTGCATAAATAACCGTAAAATTAACGGCCACGAAACTCTAAAATCATATCTTTTTTTAACCCTCGGGGCGTCATAAACTACAAATTTATCAGAATTGTGTGGGTGGGTGGGTATATTTACACACTGACACCAGATATTTTAATTTGATGATTTATTGCATCTTTTAAAAAAACAACTCTATCGTCATAAAACAACCGGTAATACGTGCAAAAAGTCTAGTTAACACGCAAGATACTTTATTTAGGCATCCCCATGTCTGAAAATACAAATGTAGTACAGAGCACAGCAAAAAAAAAATATTACAACTTGACAACTGTCTCATTCTACATTTGTGTAATCCATCACACTGTGAATTTCGACGTTAAATTTTGGTCTAATTTGACAATATTCCATTGCTTTTTAGACTGTGCAATCCGGCATCCTCTCTATTCTGACACAATATCCGTCTCCCAGAGCATTTCGGAGTAGACAGGTTTCACTGTACTTGTGTTTCAATCAAGCAATTTTGAAATATCAAAAAAAACCCCCCAATTATTCGCTTCTCTTTCATACAAAGATCTTACAAACATCAACATTAGGAAATTATTCATGCAGTCTTTTTTTTCTCAGTTTTCACATTAAATAATATAAGGAACAATTAAGAATCCTCGTCGACAAATCGGTCTTTGACACTGTACATTGGGTTGTCGAACTTCATCTCGGAGGAAGGGGACGGCTGTAGAGCGATGTAATTTTCCTCCCCGGCGGGGGTTGGGTGAAGTTTCTCAAAAGACTCGGTGCTGCCCAGTTTCTGTTAAAAAAGAATTTTTATAATTATTTTAGCACAGATATGAGAGCTTTGATTTCGTTTTGGCATCTCCTTGTCAAAATAGGAGAAATGGTAATATATAAATATATATTGTTGTACCCGTTTATCAACAAAATGTTTTGGAGAGGTTAAGAGGTTTGGTCCAGGATAACAGACAGGGAATGAGCTAAACTGCCATGTTTTTTTTACTTGTGGGGCATTTTATAATTCTCAGTGTGAGAAAACTCATTATAAAACAAAATATGCACTGAACAAAGTCCGAGCATTTCCCCATTCTTCCTTATTTTTGTTATCCAGTTTATAGCCTAAGGGAGATAACTAGAGTTAAAATAACTTGAAACTTAATTTTTTAAAAAATGTATATAAAATATACACGATCAGTGGCGGATTTAAGGGGGGGGGCGCACCCGACGTGTGCCCCCCCCTAAAATTGTCAAAATTAACGTAAATCACAGTTTCGTTTAGAAAATGTAAATATGTATACTTGGTAGACCTCATTTTTACCCTACAAAATCTCTAGAATCCAGGAGCTTCCGGCGGCTTCGCCCCCTGGGCCCCCACCAGGGCTTTGCCCTGGACCCACTGGGGGCCTCAAGGCGGCCCCCCAGACCCCTTCCCTACTTTTGGCGCCCCCTCTAACTTCAATTCCTGGATCCGCGCCTGACGATATATCTAATATATTACCTCCTTGTTTAAAAATGCCATTGAATGTCTATGTCTTCTAATTGCAATGATGAGTAAGAAGACTAATCCGAAGACGATGATAAAGCCAATGATTCCCCCCACTGTTATACCGGACTGTAAAATACAAAGTAAAGATAAATCATCATCATCATCATCACTATCATCATCATTATTGACATCATCATAAACTTCATATCAAGTTACTGTTATAATAATATATACAATGTATGTATCTAAAGTCTAGAAATTCTGTATATATATACCGCAAAATTACAAACTAACCGTTATGCTTGCAGATTGTTTCTCAGGTATTAGCGTCTAAAAATAAATACATAAAAAATAAATAAAATTAAATGAAAAAATAAATTAATTTTGTACAAATCAAGTTCTGAAAATTTGAAAAAAAAATATATATATTTAAACAAGAGCTCTCACGTACGCAAACTAGCCCGTTGCCTTTGTATTGACTTTGACAGAAACAATCAACTTCCGTTGAATTTTCATTCTGAAACAAATTAAAGAAAATTATTTATGAATTTAATCAAAAGCTTAAATAGCGCGCAAAGTAATGTAGTTGAAAGCCATTTCAGAAAACATCGATACATGTACCAGTTCTTTGCAAACAGCAAACTGATGGCATCCTTCGTTGTTCTCCTCGCACGGTCTGACACAGTGGTGTCCATCCCCCACAAACCCCTGGGGACAAGTACACGTCACACTTCCGGCGTACTCATGGCACGTTCCGTTTTCATGACAACCACCGTTGTGGTAGGCACATGATCTAGCTGTATATTGCGTGTAAAAAATAGAAATGAGGAAAAAGACGCATGCACACATCGATTGGGTATGAAATATTTTAGTTTGTGTTGAAGTCACTGAAAATATTTGGGCAATCAAATTTTGACTCGATTCATATTTGAAATTTCTTGAGAAAAATTTCAGTTATTTTTGAAATATCATGCATTCTTTGTTGCATCCAACAACAACAAAAAAGGCGATAACACTACTAAAGAAAAGATGATACCAACAAACGTGTTTAGAATTCATTTTATCAGCATACCATATTGAGAAGAACAGTTTCGAGGTATGAAGGGACCCATGTTGGACCATAGAAAAAAGTGTTTCAATTGTTACAAAAAAAGTCATTTATTTATCAAATTACAGTTGAATACCTTATCACTTCATATATCTGTTATACACATGTACGTTTTATCAGGATGTGTAAAAATATTAAGAAAACGTACCACATTCAGTGGTTGAATTGTCGGTACTGTTAATACAGAGCTGACAGGAAGTTCCGGTGTATCCTGGGAAACACGTGCACGTGCCGTCACCGTATAACCCATCACTGCAATTCCCGTTATTATTACAAGGAAACTCAGACCCTCCTTGACAAGCTAAAAATAAAAAAATGCGACCATACAAAATTCTTTGAACATTTGGTTGCACTACTCTTGAATTACAAAATTGTCTACGAAATATGTAGAGAGTTGTAACTTTTATTTTGCAAGGACTTGTAAACAGTTCATTATATTATGTATTAACTTCAATTTATAACGTTGAAGCACATGAAGACCTCTATGATAATACCATTTCTTACCTGAGCAAGTCTCTCCATAAAAGCCAGCGCAACAACCAACAACCTACAAACGATATAAATGTATAAATTAACAGTGGTTAAATATCAACATCCAACAACCTACAAACGATATACATGGATAAAGCAGTGGTTAAATATCAGAAACATAGATAACCAGAGTGTCTGTCGAGACTGTAGCTCTACTGGTTTGTACTTATAAAAAAGGAAGAGAAAAGTTGCAGTTTACAACAACAATAATGATATATATGCCACCTTAATTTTTTTTTTTTTTTTTTAGATGGTTTTGATTTTTTTTATATCACAGGGAGATCCCCCTGCCATTGTTGTATATATGTTACCTGGGGATCTCCCATCTTCTAAATGTAGATTCATCAATGATAATCATGTCTTGCCTAGACTTTAGGGAGATCCCGCTGCTTGTGTGAAATTAGGTGCTCAATAAGTCTTTGTACGTTTATCTGGGATCTCCTTAGTAGTTAAGGTAGTTTATTTGTAATTAGTTGTTCGTCATTAATAAATGACAATATTCATCAAAGTTTGCCTTGTAGTGTTTTAAGGACGTAAAAATTAACAAAGATGCAGGACCATCAGGGAACTGGTTTCCATACATTCTTTACAGTACAGGCATTTGTCTAGCGTAAGATAAATGGAGGGCAGTTTACCATGACAAAGTCATTCATCATATTAAAAACAGTATCTCAGTTTTGTGTACTTGTGTGCCACTTTATATTATAATCGGACTAAAACTGTATTTGAGGTAGCGTTTTTGAAGTATTTCAAAGAAATTTCTATTTTTAGTAACCATGGCAACACCATTCATCAAAATCAAAAACCAATATACAGAATTATGTATCCTAGTGTAGTCTACTTGTGTGTTGCAAGTTTTATGTTGTTGATTTTGGTAAAATTTTGTGATTTCAAATGTTCAAAAAGTTCCTTGGAATATTTTAGTATCTACATCTGATTTACACAACTTCTCGAATATATTGTTGCACAGGAATCTTAAGTTTCTCCTTCGCCACTGTTAATATCATTAGAAAGAAGTTTAGTAGAACATTTACTGGAACCCGCCATGTATCTTTGTGTGTAAGGACTTTTATGAAGTTTTGGAATCTTATTTGGATATCTTCTAAACATTAGTCTTCCTAATGGTTTGCAGACTCATGCGCCACCTACTAGTATTCTATCATCTTTTCATTTAACCATTGTTGGTTTCATTTCGATGATCTTTCGTTTGCAAAGAAATCTGTTGAATTTGTTTTAACCTGTTTTAAATTTGTGTTTCAGTATATTTTGTGCAAATTAATTGTTCATAAACCTTTCGCCACCCATATACTTTTCATAACGTTTTGGTTAACCCAAGTTTACAAACAAGTGCGTCATTTTGAGCTACTTGCGCAGAACAGTTGACTCGTCACGTTCTACAGCGTGACTGCACAGCATCCATATTACCCATTCTTCAAAATGTATAGTCAAGGACAGACACATGCACGAAGCATAATAATGTACATGTATATGCCTGATTAATTCTTGAATTTCTCTTCCTGGTTCAGTGCATTATAGTTTTATCATGTTTATGTTTATGCTTAAGCAAAGCATCATTGCCACCATCGTACTTGCATGTTGCAATATCATTTCATAGTTCAATACCTGATTGGTCTAGTCATGCCTACTCTCTTATCAGTGGAATATGCCCTGTCACATAATTTGAACCCTGACATTACTTTTCAGAAAAAAGGCGGAAGATATTCCATTAACGTGGCGGAAGCAAAAAGTGCATCAGAGCGTTTCTTTTTAAAACAATTAATCAATACCCTTATTCAATAAGGTATATGATATTGAACATCTAGTATAATAAGAATTTTTGAAGTAGCTGCTCATGTTGAGCAAGGAGTATCGCAAGACAATTGTGAAAATATTTCTCTGGAAAAAAAAAATCAAATTTATCTGAGTGGACCGATATCTCTCAAGATGGCTTTCCCTAATTTTCAACGCAGACCAAGTCGAATACCACAGCATCGTCCACCTTCCTCGACGATATTTCCCCCATCAACCTGTCCCCCGTGGTCTACACTACTTGCAGACACAACAAGGACTACTGTGAATCCCATCTCACCGGACTCCGTCCCGGATAACCTACGAATCCTTGTACGGGTATTTTGCATTATCTTGTCCATTTCAGGATTCGTGGTTAACATAGTCAACATCGTCGCCATTTTGAAGTACAGATTACAGAAGGAGCCCAGTATCTTTTGCATACTAAATCTCACAATCAACAATACTTTGATTTGCGTCATTGTATTTCCAAGTACAGCAACGAATACGTACATTGATAAAATAGAAGATCTACCATCGACATGCGTTCTCATTGGGTTCGTCACGTGTGGATTGTTCGGTGCCGAATTTTTCTCCATGTTGCTCATCTCTCTTAACAGATATCTCATGTTTTTGCATTCTGCTTTGTATAGAAAGCTTTACAAAAATCCGAGGAACCTAGCAATTATAACTTTTCTGTCATGGACGTTTCCATTTTTGGTTCTCTTTATGCCTCTAACGAATGCATGGGGATCCTTCACATACAAAGAGAAGAAATTTGTTTGTGATCCGTTTCATTTGAAGTTTTATCGCATTTTTATTATGGTGGCAGTGACTATATGCACACTTCCTGTGCTCCTATACTGCTATGGGAAAATATTATACAAAGTTCTGTTGAACAAGAAACGGATAGGTGTAACTCGATCGCAAAACGTTTCTCAAATTGCAATTCCAACAATATCTGCGTCAGTCATAAAAGCGCACGAACGACCTATAAGTGCAATACCCGACAAAGTAAGTAATGAGCGTCATCTTGTTTTAAGTGTAACAGCCATATTTGTTACGTATGGAATTCTTTATTCACCTTTTATCGTTCTTAATCTCTATGACCCGGATATGACGAAAGTAAATGCCATCCTTCATGCAAGTTCAACATATTTAGGGTGGTCACACTGCGTTATAAACACCCTTGTTTACACGGCATTAAATACTAAAATAAAGAACGCTGTCCGCCAACTGCTTAAGGACACGGTTGCACAGCCTCCCCTTGAGGTTACCGTGACACCAGTACCAGAAAAGCCAAAGACATCGCTTCCAATTGCAATATATAGCGTATGAAATATTCTAATCCTAGGTGTGCTTAAATGAATGGTTACATATTTTTTATCGGTCCCATGGTCAACGAGATATAATTCAATTATCATTTCAAACGAACCTGTTCCGTCATCGCAGAAAGTAATGGTAGCTAATGAAATTTCTGTCACAAAAAGCAGAATAGTCATATCTACTGCAATATTAATAAGAAGAAACCAAATGTACTGAAATAAATAACTCAATGAAACTGTATTTAGGTGTTACAAGTGCCAGTAGCATGTTCAGCACAAACTTCCTCTTCGCTACTTTATATGTAGTGTATGTCATTGATTGTGCAACTGATGCATTTAATCCCGAAGTAGAAGTGGGGAGTTGCTCCCGTAATAATCTGAGATTATTGGTTTATAATGCCTCTGATACGGGAACTTTATTTGTGCAGGGAGAATCAGTGGCATGTCGGGAAGACACCTCGTCAAACGTTTCCATCCATAACTTTGATTTTGCTGCTTGTGGAATAAAATGGGAAAACGAAATCCGAGTCGTCATTCAGAAAAACAGCAAATACCAAACAGGAGAGGATAAGATCATAACCATTTCCTGCAATGCCGATCTCTCTTCTCTTGATCTTCAAGACAACGTGGATCTATTGTTTGGCATAAATGACGACAATCTGGAAAATATCACCATTCGTCCTACAGCCTTCATGGTACTGTATAAGCTGAATGATAACGGAGAATTGCAGTCAGTTAGTGGAAACACAGTTCAACTTTCCGACAAGATCGAATTGGCAATCCGACTGGATGATGAGTATACTCTAGATTTTGATATTCGTTCTAAACATTGTTCAGCTGGTAATATCAATACAATAAAAGATTCTTGTGCAACGGATCGACATTTGTTCCCGAATTTCAGACAATTGTCCCGTGGATATTTAAGCACAGCATTCGGAGCTTTTCGAGAGACAAGCATAACTGGTGGAAGCACCGAAATGATTTTTACTTGCACACTTAAGGTTTGTCTCGGAAACTGTGATCCTGTCGCTTGCTCCGATGGAAGTTCTGGATGGGGAAGACGAAAGAAAAGAGAAATAGGTAACAAAGAGGCCCGGTTTCTCGGAAACGCATACGAGGACATCACAGTTGGTAGCAAACTCAGAATTATGTCCAACGATATCGTACTCGAAGACCCAGACGATGATATTTGTCTTGACGAGAATTTGCTGATTGCAGGATTAGTGGGTGCCGTGGGCGCAGTAGCTGCAGCCGTCGCTGCTTCTGTGGCGCTGTCTAAAAAGGCGCAAGCCAGGGCGCAACTTCTTCAACAGAAACAAGCTCAGCAGAATTGTAAAAGAAACAATAAAAGACAATAAAAATATTAAGACATATCACGCTTTTTGGATTTTTATTTATGCCATGTAATATTGCATTGACGTGAAATAAATTCCTAAAATACTCCATCTCGTATGAATTATTGCTGAGATCAACACAAAAGCATTTTCCTTGATTGTTTAAATCTGCCGAATGTCTAGCCAACTGCAGTTACGAACAGATACTTTTAATTTGTGGAAATACCTGACCTTTTTTGTTAATCAAGTCTTGATATAATCACCTGTTTAAATCGATGAGGGTTAATACGACATTTTATGATTTCTAGAAATTATTGAATATCTGCAATTTAAAGCAATATGAGCTGCAACTTGATGTTGGAATTTTTTGTTGCAAAATTGTAAATAACTAATTCAACGACAGAAAAAAATAACGTTAATAAACTTCTGCTGTTTTACTTTATTGACGTCCTGTACAATAATGATTTCGTATACAAAACTGTATATTGGATTGTATATATAGGTGTTTCTGTTGCATTACTCATGTCTAATTTATCATAATAACACATTTTAACAACAAAATGAAATTTTTAAAAATGCAGCTCATGTTGCTTTAAAGAGCTCAGGATCATCCAATCATGAAACAAATTTACCAGTAAGAAATTTTAATGCCTAAAGCGTCTTGATTTTTCAGGAAAGTTTGATTTTTTATTCCTCTTGTTATGTACCATGAAACTAACTGTTTTGTGATGCTATAATTCTGCACTATCTTTGCAAGCATTTTTTGTTCATTAAAAAAATCAATAAGCATACATTTATTACGTAAACAATTCTTAAACAAGTACTTTGCTAAGAAAATCGTAAAGAGCGATATATGGTAAGTGTCTCAATTGGCCCCTTGAAATGAATATCTTAATTGTACTTTATATATAGCTTTAATTTGTACAGCTATATATGCGACCTTTATTGGTCATTTTCATTTTGATCAAAATGCCGTTTTTTTTTTTTTTTTTTTTTTTTTAGAAATATGACATCATAAAAATAATTTTTTCCGCCATTTTAGCATATTTTGTATAAAACTGCTTATTTTCAAGCAGTTTTTCTTCCAGAAAATATAGAGCGCAGCCTAGAACAAGATTTATATTTTTACCAAAGATGTATCTATCCAATACTAATTAGTGACAGAAAAATTACGTATGTTCTACACTGCGCTCTATGTTTCCCATCAGAAAAAAACATCAAGAAAAAGGGATATTTTTGGCTTATTTGTTAGACAGCAAGAATAGCATTATTTCTCATGTCATTTACAGCTAGTGAGTGCATATAAATGTGAAAAATATATTGGAAATATTTCTAATATAATATCTTCTACAAAATAAATATCAATATTAAACATACCTGAATATCATTCTGAAATGTTGATTTTTAGGGGGCCAAAATTGGCTCTTATCATATATACTCCTTTAGAGCTTCACAATATCTGAATTTTTTAAAATATGTAATTGCTAACTTAATTAAGTTTAAAATAAAAAAAGATGTTGCATGTTTATATGGGTAATATGGGAATCGTGACGTCATAAAAACACTTTCATACACACACACACAAAAAAAAAACAAAAAACAAACAATCATACAATTTGTTGCCCCACATAGATGACCAAGTAATGATTAATGATTTATCACAAAAAATTAACACAATTAATTAATCTCTCCTCACCTACTGAACTAATATCAGATGCATACATTTAAACAGGAGTAGGTGTCAAGTTTAGAGGAACGAAAACATTCGTTCTTAATTAATCGATTCTACATAAACCAACGGTTACAGTGATCAGACACAAAAACCAAGTAACTAGGAAAAAAGGAAAATATTGAAGGTAAATTCACTTCTAAATATAATATGAAGTACTGAGAAGAGCAAAGAATTGCAAAATCACAAAAACATTTTTATATGACGTTTTCTTAAATATTAGTGGTCTTGTTCAAATTTTTATTCGGGGAGGCAGTTCAAATACTGGAAAAGTCTAGAAAGCAAACTCTTTATAAAAATCGAGAGGTTTTTGAAAGGACGGAATCAGGAATCCTCTACATTAAATTTCTTCATGACAGCGTCCAAACCAACAGGCCATGAAGAGTAAAGGAATTTTGGGGATAAACAGAAAAATAATATTTGTCGCACTAACAATATTTGCCAGATTTTTTCCCCCTTTTGACTTTTGTTAAACAAAAGAAAGAGGTCCAGGAATTCATAGGATCTTTCATATTCCAGTATACGAAGGGTCATACTCATTAATGTGTTCTAAAACACTCAGAAATTGGATAAAAATGTTACGGACGTGTTCGAATTAAAAAGAATAATTAAGTGAAATCATTAAGACTAACTCATTGAAAAGCGTTAACTTTTTGTTTCTCTCTGAGCACCGAGGACATTATTTATTGACCAGCCCTCGCAGTTTTATTGTGTACGTATTAAACAAAAACGTTTTAATGAATCACACAGTTAGAAACATTGTAAAAATGTACGATGAAATAAATTGTGGAATAGTACCCTTTTTGATTTGCAATAAATATTGTAATACAGGGAAAAGTCGCCCTGTTTTTATTTTTGTCTAATTATGCCCTTTTTAAGGTTGTGTAAATTTAAAACGGGACGAATTCTAAGAACACAGTATGATTCCTTTAACAGAACCATGAATGGGTGCATTTAAAACAGGGAAAATTGATACACTGTAGCAAGTTCAAATGGGCCAAAAATAACACGGGTCGAAAATAACACGGGTCAAAAATAACACGGGTCGAAAACAACCCTATGTACAGCATACACTTTCTTCATTGGATAGCATTGTAGCTCTCTGGTTGTCCATCCCAATTTTTTCAGACAAGCGAACTGAAGATCTGCAGCTACTAGCTACTATCCACCCACTAGTATGTATTTCAGATACTTGAACCTTACTGTATATTTACCAAAGAACTGACTGCTGTGTATAATGAGGAAATACAGCAATAACCCATCAAATAGTCAATATTTGATCATTTGATTAAGCTATAAGAAGCAGACGATTTGAATATTGTATTTTTATCTTAACAACTTATGAATTTTACGTGTATCCTTGCAAAGCATCAACTATTATATGAGCATTTTTAATTTTTACTGAAATGTATTAATATTTTATTTTATCGAGTTTACCTTCTCTTGTCTGGAACAGAGGGCGCTGCAGCCTTTGTATTGTGCGTCACCACTGGAATAGATGCACCCTTTGGTTACAGTGGCGATCTCTAATGTATATCCCTCGGCACACTGGTAATGGCCAACCTCACATGGAACGCATGCACTCTAGGATAATAAGAAGCATATTAAAGATTCAAAAACACAGATAAACATCTCATTCTTTTGTTTTCTAAATTTGTAATTGGTTTTCTAGCTCTTAGAGTTTATTTATAATACCGTATATGGTCATTAAAAACTTACATTTATAACGGTTCTATTGATTACGTCACATATTCTTAGATTAGGATGTATATATCCAGCAATTTTATGGACGACGCCCCCATCCGTCAAAAAATTACTGTGTACGATCATACGCTCTGTGTTCAGGAAAATCTGTGGTGAAAATATTGTTTTTATTCATAAAAAATGATTAAATATTCTTGAATTTCCTGTGTTCATTTCCTATAATTATACAACTGGAAATATCTCACTGCTTACCTTTGTGCCATAAATTTCAATGGAGATTTTGTGTTTGGCTCCAAGAACTGTATCAACGGATTCCTGATCATCGAAAGATTCAGCTAGGCGGATCACTGGTAGAACATAGTATCGAAGGTAGTTACTAGTCTAAAAACAGGAAACTGACAAATTACTAAAACGTAATGGATGGATAGAGTTGTAAAAAGGTTGCCTAGCAAAGTAATTATACATGTACGAGGGTTGTCCAAAAAGTTCGTGGACAATGACGTTTTTGTCAAAATAAATGGTTCTTTATGCAAATAAAAATATTTCAAACAGCTGTGATATATTTTTGTACGAAATCTACGATCAAAAGTTTTGGGTTTTGACTTAACACATGTTCATGGACACAAACTTCTTTTTTTTTCAGAAGAAAGAGCAGAAATTATCTTAAGTTTAATTTATTTAATTTTTAAAATTCAAAACAATGCACAAAAATTTACCTGTTACAGTTTGTAACATGCTAGCCAAGTTCGCATTTAGGATTAAAATATAGTGTTTTTATTATTTCACATGACACACCGTGGAAAAATCGTATATACCAATCTGCCTTGAACAAATATTTTGTCTCTTTCGTATTTCAACCGTATACAAATCTGACTATAATAGGAGAATTCTTTGATTCTTTTTTTGTCGAGGCTTTTTGTTTAAATAAATTCTAACAGGGATTATAGCTCTTTATTTGTGTTGCATAAAATTTTTAATTTTCATATAGAAAATAATTATTTTAATCCGCTTTATTAAGAGTTTATGTCATTTTAAATTTTTAGATTTTTAAAAAAATTGTTTCCATCAATAAAAATTAAGATATTTGTTTTTTCATAACAAATATTTTGATATACAAAAGATTTATAAAGAACCATTTATTTTCACAAAAACGTCATTGTCCACGAACTTTTTGGACAACCCTTGTATTCTAATGAAATTAAACAAAAAACAGCTGTGATATAATGAAATCCACGATTGAAAGTTTTAGATCACCTCCTTTTAGAAAAAAGAGTAGAAATTATTTAAGTTTTATAAGTTTTTCATCCTGTTACTTCAACCTGTTTTCGCACTAGATTAAAATATAGGTATTATTTCACATGAAGTGGCGCCTTGATATACAAATCTGACTATAATAGGAGAATTCTTTGATTCTAGGCTTTTATTAAATTCTACTAGCAAAGAAGATATCTTACTATTTGAAGAAATAATGTATACTGATAAATTTCTAAAATAAAATTTCATTGTATTAAAAATAAAATTTAAATGAAATTCAATTTTTTAAAATTAGTACTCTTGATTTGTATTCATAATTAAATAAAGCATCGCAATTTAACTCAAAAATAGACAAGAAATCCTAAAATTTCTTTTTTTTTTATCCCTACTCTAAGCCAGTCAGCAAAGATGGTGGTGTCAGTGCTGCTGTTCAAAAAATCATCAAGTGTTGGAAGTCCATTGTTTTCTAACTCTGGTTCAAGAGCCTAATAAACAGGAAAAAATAATTATAATGAAATTTAATTATCAGATTCAATAACTTTAATTTGCTGATAATAAAAAAGTAAATAAAACCATTTTTTAAATAAAAGGTTAATCATATATGTTATTTGAATGTTCATTAGTATAACCCTTGCTCTTAATTCTAGTGACGTAAAAATTTGATAACCAAAAAAGATGCAATCAAACAAACAAAAGCAACATCAAGAATTCTTACCCGATCTATGATATGAACATATCCATTGGCAGTTATCAGATTGCTTTTTATTACTCGAGCTGTTATAGCAAATCTGTTATTGGTTGAGAGAAGAAGTGTCTAAAAATCAAACGTATTATTACTGATTAAAAATGATGAATTAAAATCAAGGAACAATATAGTAGGAGAAACCCCAAAGGAGGAATAAAAAAGAAGGAATCCATTTTTTTCAGTAAGCTATGTTTTTGGTGACTGAAATTCTTATACGAAACAGAATGGGATTCTTTGAATATTTCCATTGTGCAGAATTATGACGATTATTGACTAAGAATATCAACATACGTGTGCAATAAAGAGGATATTTACTTAAGGAAAAAATTCTGTGGATATCAAATATTATTCATCTAAATAGTTACACAAAACTAAAGGCATTAGTTAAATCTCACCCCATTCTCAACTTTAAAATGTAGGAAAAAACCATCAGACAAAGTATTGTAGCGTTCTACCACATTTACAGAGGCACGTAAATCCTCTATTCGATTTTGTCCAAGAACTGTATGGTAACTGGAACAAAACCACAAAATCAACAAAGGGAAAACATCAATGCAAATACTGTGTGGTCACACATTTCTGTGAGGGTTAAATTTTCGTTTATTTCGAGGCATGGAGAGACTACGAATTTCTGACCACCATACTATCTATTATTAGTTGTAATATGCATTGCTACTAAACATTTTCCAACAGTAAAAAATATAATCTCCACAAACCAATATTTTCCCCAAAACTTAGAAAATTTGACCCCTTGAAAATATTTGTGATTTTACAGTAGATCATAATTATGCGATTGTAATTTGCTTCGTAAGGATATCAATTTAATTTCTTTATTAAACATTCTGAAGTGTCTTACTTAATAAAGGGGAGAACATTATCAATATCAGAAAAGAAGCCTTCTTCCCGCCTTCTGATCAGAAAATCCATGGCGGCATCAGTAGGAGCGAAAAATGTGTAGGTGTCCATGAAATACTGAAGGATGCTGTCCTCTCCCAAGAGCTAAAAAAGGAAGAAGCATTTTATGACAGAAAACTGACGAAAAAGGAATCAAACGATAAAATTTAGGCGGTTGTCACTAAACAACTTTCATGTACTCTCTACTTATAAAAACCCACTTCTTGTCTACGCAGGTACGTTTAGTGTTTAGAATGAAATCTAACATATTTTAAACAAGCCAGTTTTATTTCTATGAAATACCATGCAAGTACGGTAGATACCAGATACATAGATAAGGTACGTACTCTGACAAGTGCAGCTAGTCTGGTAAGGTTAGGATGGTTGAGAATGAGTTCGTTAATGGTTGGCATACAGAAAATTCCATCTCCTGCGTAGCCTTCCATACACGTACAATTATTCAGACCTGGTCCTAATGGCGTGCAATTAGCCTAAAACAGAATGTAAAATTATTATTTTTTAAAATAAAATTGATATTTGATATCACAATCCCTTTTTAAACAGGATACAGAAAATTCAAAATAAAAACACATTTCAAGTTTTATTATAAACATTGTTTCAAACTCTTTTTTGACTTGAATCTGTTATATACCTGTATAACACCTGCATTACATACTTTCATTCATATACAGTGTAACTGTATTTTATACCTTTACTACATATAAAGTACATCTTGTTCGATACCTATATATCAAATGTGTTTCTTATCTTTATTTATTTTATTTTTTCGGTATCTTAGTTGCACCAGTGTTACACAACTTTTTTTTATAAATGTTGTTCATACATTATTCAAATGTGTTCCAAACTTATTTCTGAAGCACATGTGTTTAATACTTTGATTTCACATGTATTTATTAGCTGAATTATAATTTGATTCCAGTTTCAATTTAATACATTTATTACTTCTAATGCTGTTTCCATACATTTATTGCCACGTTGTGCTGTTTTCCATACATATTAAGCTTAAAGCTCTGTTTCACTTTTCCATAGCAACTTTTAGCATTCTTAGAATCATTAATGCTAACTGAGTCCTTGTTTTTATAACACCAAACTGTACATGTATTCTAACCTTTGAATGGCAACCTCCATTATGAAAATCACACATATTATTTGGAATGCAGTATGTTCCATTTCCATGGAAATCGTCATTACACCAACAAAGGGACTGGAACAATATTGAGATAAGTATCAATTTAAACGAAGTTTAATAAATTGATAAATTAGACATTCTGAGAGTGTACAATAACGTAAAAGATAAAAAGAAAACAAACAGTGGTGACATATCTAAAAATAAATCAATAAACAATGCAAATGGTTGAAGGGGCATAAAAAATGGACCACTGAAAATTCCAGAGGTGGGATTAGGTACATAGGAGGAGAAAGCATACCATATTGTTCTGTCACAACTGCCGTGAACCCGATGGATTGACCAAGAATACATTGCGCACTATGTAGTCAATTACTATATTTTTATTATGCCTTTATTATACAATTGTATCCGGGAACATCTTTAAGAAATTGTTTGTTTTTCCACTCCAAACAGATTAACAAAAATGTCCCCACTACTTTTTCTTTTAAATCAAGAAAACGATATTTTGTCCTGGTTAATTCCTGAAATTTTCTCAACCTGCTAACATCTGTGCTGCCATTTTCTGAGATTTTTTTCCACCTACCTAAAAATCAATTATTTTTACCCTGAGTTGGGAAGAGGGAACCGAACATTTCTTTTAAAGATAGCCTGGTCACTAACCTTATTATGTGAGGGGTCAGTCTTACAAGAGGCATACTTATGACAATGTTGGTGGTCTCCACATTCTGACCCTGGGTAGCAGTACTTCCCATCCCCTGCCCAACCCTCACCACAGGTACAAGTGTTGTCTCCTGGTCCGTTCATCTTACACACAGCCTGGTAAAACAGATTTCTTACGTTGTTTTTATAGAAATTGCATACAGTTGTTGAAAACATTTTTGATCAAATTTTACACAATTTCTAAACATATTTTTTATGTCCAAAAATGCCCATCGAAGTAAATCAGCAGTAACTAGAAAAATATTAATCTTTCAACAAAAGGCAAATGTGAAAATTGGAAAAATGATGCAAAATGTCTACATATTTAAATAAAATGATATATATATTTCATCACGTTTTACAACATTCTTAAGCAAATTCTTAGGTTGGAATCAAAACTAGAATGAACATTACCTGTTTGTGACATCCTCCTCTACCTGGCTTTTCACAAGGATTAATTGGGGTACATTTAACAGCACCATCCCCTTCATAACCACGGTCACATACACAGCTAGGAAAGAATCATTTAAAGGTACTGTATAGTTCTTCACTGTGACATTCTTATTTTCGGGGAGGTTTATTTTTTGTTGTTTTCGATGTATGAAGACACCCACAAATTAAATTCCACCACGAAATTTAAGTGTTTTATAAATTACTACTCAACAATTCCTCAACCATTAAAGCAAATCCTTACAGACCTATAGTTTTTCTCAAGACCACAAAAATGAACCTCTACGAAAATTTGTGATTCAAAATATTATGTCAATGTGTATATACCTGTTATCTTAAATATTATAGTGTTTCATAGGATTCCTAAATCTAGTCCCCACCTTCTACCAATCTCAGTTGGGCAAGCAATCAGGTTGCAGGGTAAATTAATGTCTATTTGTTTCAAATAATAAACAAATGACCAATTAAGATTTGTGAGGACTAAATGGTTACTTTCATCATGAATACAAATCATCTGTCAATGACCCTAGAACATGCACTTAGTGAAACATATTATTTTGTAACTATCAAAAATTGGCAAAACACTTTTAATTGTTTTACCTACCGAAAAGATGATCCATTTCTGACGCAGGAAGAATCGATATGACATGGCAATGTATGCAGACTGCCTAGACATGGCTTAGATAGGATATCACAATTCTCCCCTCTGTATCTATCTGGCCAATAGCTCCATTTATTTAATGTGTTCCGAAAGCAAGATTTGCACTTTCCATCACCCTCTGGTCCGTTGTTGCAAATTCCGTGAACGCATGTACAAGCTGAGCAAAAATGTTTCTTTAATGCCCAATCTTAAAACGCTGTATTTCTTTTCTTAGTAATAGAAGTTGTCAACATATTGATGAAATGCATTTAATCTTTATAATTATGACTTTACATCTTGTCATTCATTTCCGGAACAAGTGCAATCATTTTTAAAGTGTTAGACAACATCCAAAATTCTTCTGAATGGCATAAAACGTAGATACTAACTGACATGATCAGATTGACAACATGTAGAGAATATGAAAAATATAAAAGTATATAAGAGAAGAAAATACTTTTGTTACACCCGGGCCCAAATTTCTTGGCGTCTGAACATCTGTCACAGGCGGGTCCAGTGAAAGCCTCCTCACAGATACAAGTACCGTTGCCATCCAATCCATCCACACACTGTTTAAGAATAAGAAATAAGTAATGTTAAAATCTACCATCTCTCCTGTCATTTATAATTTTAAGAAGTGAATAAGCAAACTGTATTTACATAAGTAATGGCAACTTTTTAAAGAAAGGGTTTACAAACCTGTCCTTTTCCAGAACAAGGATTTTTATATCCTCCTGGACATATAGAACATTTATCTCCATAGTACCCGGAACAACACACAGGGGTCTGTTTAAATACGTATAAAATTATCAATTAAGATAAACACATCCCGTCATACTTGTTATAAGGCACGAAATCGTAATCATCATAGAATTTTGAACATATTCTTAATAACTTAGCTTAAATATTATATAACTGTCCTGGTGTTTGAATGCTTTGTAGGTGCTGATATAAAATTTAATTTTTAGAATCCAGCCTTTACTTGGTAGTGGTGATAAGTACAATATACACGCATTAAAAACTCGAATAAAGAAGTAAAAGTAATATATCTGAAAACGAAAACGTACTTGTTTTGTTGCGTTGCACACTGAAACACATCCTGCACTCTTGATGAAAAAGAAATCCAAGATCTTCCCCGTGTCTGGGTCTCGGGAAATCTGCGCCTTCCTTAGGTCACAGGATTCTACCTCACCCTATATAAAACACATTTCTATGTTTATGCATGTTATTTACTGAGATCAGACAACTATCTATCAAATTCTAGCGATGTTCTCTAAAATTTATTTATTGGAGTTCCTTTCTTATGATGCAATATAACCTTTTCTCCTGATTTTGAGGTTTTAGATGATTTGATACACAAGAACATGCTCTACGCAAGAACATTTTCTAAAATGAGGCAAACTTTTGACAAAAAAGTTTGTGAAACAAGGATAACAACATATTTGTTTGACGTCGATTTTATGGTTGATAGTAATAATGATAATGTAAGTAAAAGGAAACTCTAAGTAAGACAAATGCTGGCTGACGTTTTACATACAACGTGTTCGGTCATTACACACTGAATTCTGTATGATTATTTTTCCCGTTTTCCCGATTGTATGACAAGGGGCACAAGGTGGGTGCGACCGGTGGGCAAGAGATCCACACTCCTCCAAGGCACCTGATCCAATCCCTAGTGTTTTAGTGAGGCCTGTGTTTGCTCTGCTTTCATTTGTATTGTATAAATGGACTTTGAGCTTGGATACCTTTTGTTATTTTATTAATCATTTAATTTTTATTTAATTTCACATTTTCTTTCACTAAGCTATTAGTTGTTATAGATTTCACTCTACTGATTTTAAGGACTAAATTCTTATCATATCAAAAAATTATCAAAGAATTATATAAAAACAATTCATTTTACAAACTGGATGGATTTTTTACACGATTTTCTTACCGCAAGAATTCCTTCCTCACATTGCACACAGAATTCCTCTCTAACATTCAAAATAACTTATTAATACTAATTCCAAATTATACTCCTGTAGGAATTCGATTTTTATTTTAAAACTTTACAATATTTTATGGGTCCATGCCCTGGAAATTTCTTTCTCTAAAATCATTATATTTACATAATGTCATTTTTCTAATATCATTTCCTTACTTTAAAGAGTAGTACCTTATTACTCTCCCACTTTCTATTTACTTTTGGGATTAAATTATTGCATTTTATTTACTTTTGAAATTTCTTTTCAAACCTTTACTTTTCATTTGCTTTGGGTATCTTTTTTCGCATTATTCTAAGTAAATAAATTCAATTTTTGCACCCATTTTTGCATTCTCATATGAGGGAATTCTATTCTCTTACTAAGGGGCGTCCATTATTGCATCCCATTACTATGCCAATTTCTCCCTCTTTCAAACGAAATTCATTCTCTTAATTAATGAACTTCATACTTATATTCTACTTCTCACACTCAATTTCTGATAGCTTTCATACACTTGCACCTAAAGGCATTTTTACTTTACATTCAACATACTGTAGAGATTTTATTTTTATACACAGTCTACATTGTACTTACGGTGGGGATTCCTTTCTCGCACTCTAATGTGGCATAACATGGTCTGCAGTATCCCTGTAAAACAAATTATATATGGCTATGAAATGTTCTTTCAAATAACTGGTTTCAAGAAGACAGTTCTATACTGACCACAACAGTTTCCATATTTGACAAACATTAGAATTAGCATACTCGTTCTTTGTAAATGGTGTTATAATAACTGCAGATTCCGGGCAAGATTTTCTCTTGGTCTATGGGCAGTAGAACGTTGTCCATATGATAAAACAAGCCATTTGATGCTGGTATGTCTGTCTGTGTAATGTTGGTTTCCCTATCTAAACGTATTTGACCCTAGAAAATACGATAAAAAGTCTTGAAAGGCAAATAAAACTATCGATCAGTGAAAAAAAATCAAAGTATTGCAACGATACAATTACTATCATAAATTACTTGGTAAAAATAACGGAGCAAGCGAATGATATTTATGTTCCCCAAACGAAGTTGGGGAACATATTGTTTTTACTCTGTTTCTTCTTCTTCTTCTTCTTCTTATTTTTCTTCTTCCTGGGAAAATCTTTTCCGCGAGTGATCTTGTAAACTTCTCATTTGACTAAGGTGAAACCTTTTTAGGGTCAGTAGGCACGTTATGTAGATTTGCGGAACGAAGGTCATTTTGCGCGCACGTGCTTGCAAGAGCGCGCACGTGCAACACGTGAAATGACCAATATAATAGATATAGCAGTAACTTTTCTATTTTTTGTTTATATACTTTGAAACTCATAATATAAGTATATAATAGTAATATAGACGTGATGACATGGTCAAAATAGCAAGACCTCACGTGCATGCATGTGCGCTTCGCTCTGATTGGCTGAAACTAAAGTCTCAGTATTTTTCTTGTTTTTGACCAAAATCCATTGAAAATTTGAACATGGTTATACATTATGAAGGTCTACAGCATAATCTATAAGAAATTTCATGAAAGCATGCGCACACACGTGTGCTGCAATCTGATTGATTGAAACTTTAAATGGCTATATCTCCCTTGTTTTTCAACCAAACAGGATGGGATTTAAAACATAGATAGATATAAGGGATTCCTATAAGAAGGTATGGTCATCATGCACATGCACGCACGTGCGTGCATTTGGAACGAGTGAAATTAAAAATACACTTGAATGAGTGATTTTCAATACTGCTTTAATATAAAGTATATTGAAATAGATAGATTATGTACACAAGATGATATGGTCATAACGCACATGCATTCACATGCGCACGGGTGCAATGCTAAAATTTGAATATAATTGGTATCCTTCTGGGAAAACGATGTTAAAGTCAAAAATGCACAGAATTTGTCTTATTAAATGAAGCTTACAGGGGATATGGCACCAAAAGGGAGTTGGGGAGCGTTTGGGGAACATCTGTAACGGTTTCCGTTACAATTAGCACTAGTTCTATATCTATTTAAAAATTTATCAATTTTTAGAGACCATAAAGGGTTTTAAAAACTTGCAATTCAGCACATTTTGATTTTTTAAGAGTTCTATATAACACGATTCAAACCTGTGTTGTAACTAAAACAGCTACAAGTGATTGACTGCGAGTTTTTATTGTTCCTCTGTTTATTAAATCAGCCACTTCAATCTGTAAAATAATGAAATTCTGATAGTCTTATTTTTGAGATGGGGAGTGGGAATACCCGGTATACATGTATATGTTTAAACATAAAATTTACGATGCAGAAACATGTTATATAGACAGTATTCTAGACGATCAAATGTCTCAGATTATTGCTGGAAGAAAAAAATTAAACTGAGTCTTATAATAATTCTAGGTTTTACAATGTCCATGATTAAGAAACAACTTTTAGTGCAAAATTATTTTAAATCTTTATCGTAATTTTCATTGTAATTCTTAGTTTCAGAAACTAAATTGTTTTTTTTTTGTCCAGAGCTTTGTTGTTGTATATATATCAAATTGTTATGTCATTATCTTCTCATTACATCGTGTTCGGTTTTTTCCGTATCCCGATAAAGCGAGCACATAGTGGGTTTGACAAGTCTATAGGGGGTACTTATACCTCCATGGCACCTGACCCCAACTCTGATGTTTTTTTCTTAGAAGTCAGTGTTTTCTTGGTCTCTGATTTGCATTCTTTCAATGGAGTTTTGAGCATGAAAACTCTTTTTTTATATCTCACACTTTTTTCTTTATTCCTCACTAAGATATTGGCATTAGTGAAGGAAAAACTTCAAGAGTACTTTGCAACAATATATTCAAGAAGTGGTGTGAATCAGATGTGGATACTAAAAAATTTCAAATAACTTTTGGACAATTTGAAATCACAAGATTTTACCAAAATCAGCAGCTTAAATACTTAGGACTTTTCAACGTTATACACAACCATTCCCCACGATAAATTAAAGTCCAGACGTTTTAATATCATTGACAGCTGCTTTTTCAATAAAATGAATCTCGTAAATTTACTTACCTGGTCAATGGTCTTTGCAAAATTATTTTGTTAAAACATGTTGATTGTGCGCACAAGTACTCTGAAGTTGGCTTCAAAAAGATGCTTGAGTTTCTGATTGATAATATCTATGTGGTCTTCGGAGACCAGGTCTTCCAACAACCTGTTGGAATTCCCATGGGTACCAATTGCACTCTGTTATTAGCAAACCTAATTTTGTATTCATATGAAGCAGAATTTGTGAGAATTCTTGAAACTGCTCAAAATCTTGCGCAAAATGTATGAAAAAAAGAAAACACTTGCTGTGGCCTTCAACTCGACATTTGGATACATAGGTTGACAATTAACAATGGTAATTTCCATTCGTATCTCGATATATCTTGGTGAGCTTGAGATAAAAAGAATACCACAGAGTCTGACACATTTGTTTCATACTTGGATATTTTACTTGAAAAAGACGTTAATGGTAATCTAACAACCAAGCACTTTGTTAAAAACGTGATGACTTTAAGTTTTCTATCGTCAACTTCCCTTACTTATGCAGCAATATACCTTCATCACCTTCATACAGAGTTTAAATATCTCAGTTGATTCGATACACAAGAGCATAGTCTACATGTGAACGATGTTTAAAACGAGGTAAATTATTGACAAACAAGTTGATTAAACAAAAATTTCAGTAGTCTCGCTTAAAGTCATCATTTCGTAAGTTCTATGATCGATATAATGACTTTGTCAGCAAATATAATATATTGAGTGAAATGCTGAATGACGTTTTTCATACTAATTATTAGTCCATTATTTATACACTGAACTGAAGACGGATTTTCCCGTTATTTCCCGATCATAACAAGGAGCGCTAGCACACGGCTAGTGTGACCGTTCAGCAGGGGATGCTCATTTCTCCATGGCACCCTTGATGATTTGTAGGTCCATGTTTGCAATGCTCCTATTTTATACTTGTTTTATGGACTTTTATATTGAATACTGTTCATATCTTTATATCCTTCATTACTAATAAGATCATTATAACAATCATATAAACTTCAAAATAGTTTATGTATACAGGGTTATTTTCTACTGGTGTTATTTTGGCCCTTTCACATTACAACCGATTTTACCCCATTTTAAATTCGCCTAGTCATAGTTTTCCTTTAGAAATTATATGCTGTATTGAATTCACCAAAATTAGGGATAGGCGAAGATAAAACGGAGGCGAAAATTTCCCTCTTTACAGTAAGGAGTAGAAAAACCAAACAAGAAACAGGTATGGCATATTCTGTGGTGTCTTTTGAGTTCACCTTGCTTCATGTATATGGAACTGACACAAGAGAGGATAAAATAATGTACCTGAATGTTAAATTGAGGGCAACAGTAAAGTTTGTCAATCTCATGTTAAAGTTTTTCAATAAGTTATACTTCGAACCAGAAGGAATATAAAACATATTGAGGAAGATAATTGGTGTCCATGACATCTATAGAGAGTGCAGGTGCCATATATTGGAATGTTCCCTTTAGGTATGAATTATTAACTTACCGTTTCGTTTACAATTTGATGTCTCAGAATAAGCTTCAGTGTGGTTTGGCCCTATAAGTACAATGCATATCAATGACATTCAGAGAGAAAAAAATTAAAAATGTTAATATGTATATTTTTAAGTGATCTTAACTAAAAGATTTTTATTTTAAAAACAGTAAAATTGATAAAATTAACAAACTCTTTATCAGCAATTTGAATTCAGTTGCAAGCTTTATTTTATGTTTTGCATAAATTATTTGGCAATTTATTTAATATTTATATTATATACGATACAGCATAGCATTTTGTTGTATTTATACAATATTCAAGTCTTCTATTCATGTATAATAGAGTTTTAATTTGAATGATGTGAAATTTTTTAAGTTGTGAAAAATGGTTGAAAATATTATAATATATAATAGGTAAACACAAAAACACCTCGTCACTTTTGAGATAATCCATAACTCCATGTGGTAAATTGTTCCATGCGCTATTACTTGAGGCAAAAACAGTTATTCCTTTCTGCTCAAATTCTGATTCTATGCCAGCTCTCTAAAGAAATAATGATAGTGTGAAGTGTTATTAGATGTATATAAAAAGAATATGATATTTATGAGTATTTTGTATAATCATGAATTTAAAAAAAATAAAACATATGTTCTTGATATCCATATCATACCACAATGAGAGACTTCAAAATGTTATATCGTCTGTCCTTTTTTAACAACTTAAAGATAGATTTCTGTAAAAAAAAAATAAAATAAAAATACTGTAATACATTTAGTTTTAAAATTAAATATCTATACATGCATCAAATAAAAGTTCTGATCGTAAACAAATAAAATATATTGTACATACCTTTTACAATGTCATGACCATTGACTATTGTTAGTGTAGTGAAATTATTCTAATTTTGTACTCAACTTCACTCAATTAATTCAAATTTAACGACTCATTTATACTACATGTATATCAAACATTTTGATACAGATCAACACTGCTATTGAGTGACGTCATAAGTTCATACCGTGCTATCTCCCTTGACGTCTGCCTGGTTTGTGAGTAGTTTTTGAACCACGTGGATGATTCCATTAGAGGCTATCATGTCCTGTTTGATCACTGACGATTTCACCCGGGATCCACTAAGTCTGTACCGGTATGTTATACCCCCACGCTGAAAAAAATTCAATACATTAAGGGGGATGTACGGCCACCTTTAGTGCAGTGAACGCAAAATGTAAACATTTCTTCAAATGGCTAAAATACATTATATTTTGATCAAATTTTAAGTCATTTTGATAAAGATACAATAAATATGAATAACCGAATGCATGTTGTGCATATATAATCTGTACTTTTGCAGAAAAATGCTTTTGATATGCTCCTTAGAACTGCACAGCTACAGAATTCAGCAGAGCCTTAAGGGGGATGTACGGCCACTTTTAGTGCAGTGAGAGCAAAATGTAAACATTTCTTCAAATGGCTAAAATACATTATATTTTGATCAAATTTTAAGTCTTTTTGATAAAGATACAATAAATATGCATAACCGAATGCATGTTGTGTATATATAATCTATACTTTTGCAGAAAAATGCTTTTGATATGCTCCTTAGAACTGCGCAGCTACAGAATTCAGCAGAGCCTTAAAAAATCCAAAAAAATATGCAAACTGTGCATTAATGTTCTCTCTACAACCATTTGTTGAGAAAATGTCTAAATTTTGCACCTTTAAATGATAATTTCAAGTTTAAAACAAGGTACCATTGTCTTCAAAAAGAGTGTAAAGAACCATGAAAGTAGTTCATGGATAGCAGCATGGTCTATTTTTAGCACAGAATCTTGTTTTCCAGACCTTTCTATAATATGGAGGGGCATAACAATCTTTAAATGTAGAAGAGAATTACAGTTGCAAAATATTTCAAATAATATGAACACTTTTAAAAGAGGAAAGGTGTTATAGTGTGGCTTGAAGTAATTTTTATTTAGTATTATTATCGAACAGCTGTTATATATATATAGTTTACGTATTGATATAAAAAAAATTTAAACTCTTTGATTCCAGGCAAGGAAAAATGAGCACCATCAAAGTTAAAAATTAAGAGTTTGTAAGTTTGCCACAGATAAATTATATTATCTATTAAAATTTAATTATCTACAATAAAACACAAAGAAATTAGACACATGAAATTGATACGAATGACCTTGTTTTAGTACCTACTAGTACGAAGCGTTATCAAAAATTTCGCGAAATATCTCTATATCTACAAAACCACAGTTCAGATTAGATAGCCAAACACAAGTTCTATAAATAGCATATGCTGAAGTTTTGATCCTTGTTTGTGATGTCACAATCTGAAAATGACGTCATTATTTAGGTACTTTTGACGAAAAATGGTTGTCTCAGTGGAACTCGTGGCACATGTATATCTTAGAAATGCCTTTGAAGTAGCGTATAAGAATTTGTTCGTTTTAGTGAAGGAAGGCAGATGGTTAAATATGATACTTGTTATGTTGCCCGGTGAAAGCAAGTTTGAAAAGGGATGTGTTTTTAATAAAGCAATATGCTATCAAAGACCTTCAATTAAAATTTTACACTTTGAAAAATACTTGAATATTTCAACAATAATATAAATATCAAATACCTAAGATATTGTTTACTTTTTGATCACCCCTCGTATACTGTGTCAAATAAACATGCATTTATAATTTTCATTACAGAGCAGCAACAGTTGAAAAGGCATGAAATCATTCAGAGTGGGTTAGGAGATTTAATGAATAATTTTTTTTTCTATTTGCCCATATTTTCAAAATTACAATTGTACAAAGTAAAGAGAAAAAATCAACCTATAAACATCTTTAAAATGATGTTTGGTGGTCCTCCCAACTCAGGGAAAAATAATTGGGTCCGTATTTATAGGTGAGAAAAAAAATCCTTAAAATTTAAACAGAATTGTTGACGGAAGAAAAAGAAAAAAATATCGTGTAATGGAATGTTAAAAAAATGAGTCGGGCCATTTCTAGGCAGTAGATCGGGAGAGAGGGCAACCAAATATTTTTATAACAAGTGGTATTATTAGGCTAGTACATGTTCCATCACATACTTAGTAATGCAATTTTTTTTAATCTTTGACACTATTTTGAAAAAAACAAACATAGGATTTTCGGGGGAGGGGGGGGGGGGGGGTTAGCACTAACTTTTTTTGCAATGATAGACATAGCATATATGCAATGGACCTTTCTTTGCAAACATTGTGCTCGCTTCTAAATTTCATAGAAACAACTCATTATATTTTATCAAGCTTCGTATGTTCAATGAGCGAGAGCTTACAACGTTGTCAACATAATGAGACATGATGCGTTTTTGTGTCCAAACATTACTACATACAATGTGTGGGTCATTGCAAACATTCTAGCTATTTATGTGAGGTGCCTGAAGGATATCCTATAACTGCCTATTTTTTCTATCTAACTTCTAAACAAAATAGACATATGTACCAACTTTTCGAATGTAAGACATGTAATTACAATTTATTTTTCATGCACTGCATATTGTTTAACATTTTCAAATTAAATGCTAAGCATCCTCCTTGCAGTGCCCCATTTGAAAATAACTTCTATCGCCACAGAAAAAAGACCCACCGAAAACACATATGTTTAGGACATTTTTATCTTTTTTTCTTGAGTTTTAAAGAAACCAACAAATTATCAAGACTTGTTCCATAAAAATTAAATATAATCATGGTAATAAACGGATTTATCCACAGCAGATATATGCACATGCCAACCATGTGCTTAGTGGAATAATATTATAGAGGAATTTCGAGTTGAAAACAGAAAAGTTTTTCCCGATTTGCTGGAGTGAGGTTAAAATCGCGTTTTTTCATTAATCAGACGATGCGATGCAACAAATAAAAGTAGTAAGTAATATAACCTAATGATTATTACTTAGTAATTTCTTGTCTTGATGTTATTATGGTCGCATTTATTCTACAATCATTGTTATTCGAACTCTGTGTGACAGAGGAATGGCGGACCAAAATAAACACATGGCCTCAGCAAGACACCCATATAAAAAATCAAATTTTCAAGAATTATGGATAATGACAAGAAAAAAACGAAACAAATGGTTGTAGCCATATTATCAATGAATCAAACTAACTCCATTTTCAATGCATTTTTCATCTCATGAATGCTGTACCTGCGCAGTTCTAACATGATTAATTTTCTTCTAATTAAGACAAAATAAACTTAATTGTTTACTAATTTTGGTCTCTAACAGTATGTAATTAGTGCATTAGCACTTTGAGTAACTTTGGGCTAGTTTAGTAGAGTATTAAGCGCATTCTTGGTATTTCTTAGTTTACACCAGACTAGATCCAATATGGCTTGTACATCCCCCTTAAAAAATCCAAAACAAAAAATATGCAAATTGTGCATCAATGTTCTCTCTACAACCATTTGTTGAGAAAATGTCTACATATTGCACTTTTAAATGATAATTTCAAGTTCAAAACAAGGTATCGTTGTCTTCAAAAAGAGTGTAAAGAATCATGAAAGTAGTTCATGGATAGCAGCACGTGGTCTATTTTTAGCACATAATCTTGTTTTCCAGACCTCTTCTTAATATGGAGGGGCATAACAATCTTTAAATGTAGAAGAGAATTACAGTTGCAAAATATTTCAAATAATATGAACACTTTAAAAAGAGGAAAGGTGTTATAGTGTGGCTTGAAGTAATTTATTTAGTTTGAACAAATTTTTTTTGTCTATTTGCCCATATTTTCAAAATTACAATTGTACAAAGTAAAGAGAAAAAATCAACCTATAAACATCTTTAAAATGATGTTTGGTGGTCCTCCCAACTCAGGGAAAAATTATTGGGTCCGTATTTATAGGTGAGAAAAAAAATCCTTAAAATTTAAACAGAATTGTTTACGGAAGAAAAAGAAAAAAATATCGTGTAATGGGATGTTAAAAAAATGAGTCGGGCCATTTCTAGGCAGTAGATCGGGAGAGAGGGCAACCAAATATTCTTATAACAAGTGGTATTATAAGGCTAGTACATGTTCCATCAAATACTTAGTAATGCAATTTTTTTTTTCAATTTATTTTTAAAACTAACTGATCTTGTAATCTTTGACACTATTTTGAAAAACAAACAAAGGATTTTCGGGGGAAGGGGGGGGGGGGTAGCACTCACTTTTTTTGCGATGATAGACATAGCATATGCAATGGACCTTTCATTGCAAACATTGTGCTCGCTTCTAAATTTTTATAGAAACAACTCATTATATTTTAATTATCAAGCTTCGTATGTTCAATGAGCGAGAGCTTACAACGTTGTCAACATAATGAGACATGATGCGTTTTTGTGTCCAAACATGACCCCATACAATGTGTGGGTCATTGCAAACATTCTAGCTATTTATGTGAGGTGCCTGAAGGAAATCCTATAAATGCCTATTTTTTCTATCTAACTTCTAAACAAAATAGACATATGTACCAACTTTTCGAATGTAAGACATGTAATTACAATTTATTTTTCATGCACTGCGTATTGTTTAACATTTTCAAATTAAATGCTTAGCATCCTCCTTGCAGTGCCCCATTTGAAAATAACTTCTTTCGCCACAGAAAAAAGACCCACCGTAAACACATATGTTTAGGACATTTTTATCTTTTTTTCTTGAGTTTTAAAGAAACCAACAAATTATCAAGACTTGTTCCATGAAAAATTAAATATAATCATGGTAATAAACGGATTTATCCACAGCAGATATATGCACATGCCAACCATGTGCTTAGTGGAATAATATTATAGAGGAATTTCGAGTTGTAAACAGAAAAGTTTTTCCCGATTTGCTGGAGTGAGGTTAAAATCGCGTTTTTTCATTAATCAGACGATGCGATGCAACAAATAAAAGTAGTAAGTAATATAACCTAATGATTATTACTTAGTAATTTCTTGTCTTGGTGTTATTATGGTCGCATTTATTCTAAAATCATTGTTATTCGAACTCTGTGTGACAGACAATGGCGGACGAAATAAACACATGGCCTCAGGAAGACACCCATATGAAAAATCAAATTTTCAAGAATTATGGATAATGACAAGAAAAAAAACGAAACAAATGGTTGTAGCCATATTATCAATGAATCAAACTAACTCCATTTTCAATGCATTTTTCATCTCATGAATGCTGTAGCTGCGCAGTTCTAACATGATTAATTTTCTTCTAATTAAGACAAAATAAACTTAATTGTTTACTAATTTTGGTCTCTAACAGTAGATAATTAGTGCATTAGCTCTTTGGGTAACTTTGAGCTAGTTTAGTAGAGTATTAAGCGCATTCTTGGTATTTCTTAATTTACACCTGACTAGATCCAATATGGCTTGTACATCCCCCTTAACCACGATTTGCTACAGAACTCAGTTACAGCATTCAGATATTTTTGAATTTTAATATAATTATAGTTTGTGGTAAAAATGTACCAAATTATTGAAAAAAAGTACATTTACATGCATATGGTATTTGAGATTTAAACTGTATTTGAAAGTAAGTTCAATTTATTTTTAACTAACTGATTTTGTTTGGATTTCCGCCTGTTTTCCTTGAAGTGTATAAAATGTATTCATCCGCGTGAGATTCTCCATCGTCCACTTTCCGATAATGATATGTTGTCGTAAAACCTGACCTGCTCTGTCGGTGTTGTTAAGAAAATCATCCATCTGTAATTATTGATTGTAGAAATATGTAAATGTAAAGAAGTCTTAGAGTACAGTGTACATGTATAGCTGCCACACAAAAAACATTATTTGATCAATCCTTAATACACATGTACATCCCTTATAAATCATAGTTTCAACACTGAAAGACCAATATGAGGTCTTGATTATTACATTCCTTTTTAATTTTTTTTTGAAAATGAAATACAAATGCATCATATCCTATTTATGAACAGAAAAAATATAAGTTTTAACTAAATGCATATTATTTACAAAATAAAATAAAACCATTCTGAAATAAATCGCAAAAAAGTTTTTTATCGTTCTTTCAACGTTGGAACTATAATTATAGCTTAAAAGAGATGCATTTTTTATCCATCATATAAAATACGTCAGTAGGAACCCCAACACTTGCAACAGATACGAAAAAAGTTAAATATCATAAACATCAATGTAACAATTACGACTTTCACTTACATCCATGTTTCTGTAAATTGTTCGGAATCCGAAGTCCGTTGGGAGGAAGACGGTAAATGGACCGTGATATCGGAACTCCTCGTGATAAATATTCTTCACCAATTTGATGGCCCAGGTCATCTTCGACTCTAAAGTTGGATCATCGTTATGAATATCTTCTATCAACTGTCGAAGAAAATAATATTTCTATTTAAAAAAATTTTGCTTGTACCCTAGGAACCAAGTTAAATGTAAAATTACCTTTTCAAATACTAGTATATTAATGAATTGCAAAAAAGAATCTTGTATTATAGCACATCCTTTTCTTTAAGGACAGTGTAGATCATGTAGATCACTTGATTTATATTGAACGTTTATTTAAAGTAGAAACAACTTACCCCCATTAGATTGTTAAAACACACTTTTCCATCACTTGCATAACCTTCATTACACACACATCTGTAAAATTTTATACGACTCGTTGTAAAATTGATAACTTTATAGGTTTTATTTGGGTATCAAAAGTAAAAATGGCAATGTTTATTTCTCTAACATTTTAATGCGATTGCTTCATATCAGACGATTAGAAATATTGAACAACATATTTTTAAAAAGTTTATTTACTCGTGTTCCAGTGGACCAATCATTTGACAATCTGCATTTTTGTCACAAAGGCTGCTATTGGTCAAACAAAGATCGATGAGCTCGCACTTCTCATTGGAGGAACTTTCGTAACCAGCCTTGCAAACGCACTCTCTCTTTGAAGAAAAGAAAAAATATTGTTTCAATCTTTTATTTTGTGATGATTGTGATTAACTTTGAAAAAAAATAATTCAGCTATTCTTTGCATTCTGCTATTTTCAATCGTAATTACTTTAAATTTAAGATTTACAGCTCATTTGAGTAATTGGAACAATTGGACAAAGCTTAATTTCAAGCAATTTCAAGACTTGTACGAATTGTCAAATAACATTTTACATACCACACCAGGTGATCGATATGTACAGATTGAGGTGGTAAAGTTACACCCTCCATAAAAATCCCGGCAGGGATCAATAGGTGTGCAGACGTAACCGTCCCCCCGGAACCCCTCAAGACAGGAGCAGTTATATTTAGAAGGTCCAAGAAAAGTGCAGGTGGCGTTTTCGCTACATTCATGTTTACCTTTTGCACATACATCAACAGCTGTAAAAGAGAAATGATCTTGTACATAGAAGGTATATATTTAAAGTTACTTCTAAAAACAAAAAACAATATTTTTCTGTGTTATAAAGATTTTCAAAGGCAAAATCCTATTCTAGAGTCACTTTTTCACATGTCGGTAATCCTACTTAGAAGTCTAAGTCTATTTCCGGAAGGAAATCTTTCTCTGAAGCGATACGGGGGAGGGGATTAAGAAGTTATAACATACTAGTACTTTACAGACTGGAACTTACGATTGCATGTTTGTTTTGTGGCGTTTATTTCCTTCTAGTATTCTATATTAAAGGTACTTACTATTGCATGTGTTCTGTGGCGTTTATATCACTCTTGTATCCTACATTACATACGTGTGTTCTGTGGCGTATATACATGTATCACTCTCGTATCCTAAGTTACAGGTACTTATACGATTACATGTTTGTTTTGTGGCAAATATATCCCTCTTGTATCCTATATCAAAGGTACTTACTATTGCATGTGTTCTGTGGCGTATATACCCCTTTCGTATCCTAAGTTACAGGTACTTACGGTTACGGGTGTGCTTTGTGGACTTTATATCCCTCTGATATCATATGTTGCAGGTACTTTTGATTACACGTGTGTTCCGTGGCGTTTATATCCCTCTCTAAAATGTTACAAAGCAGTAGGAGTTTTAGAACTTTCAATACACCTAGAGTTCTCACTGTTCTTATAGTCACAACCAGAAATCTCTGAAATAAAATATTGCCACTGTACCTTTAAGTAAATGCATCTGTAAAAGTTTTTTTTAATAAGAAAAATTATCAAAAACGATTATAAGTAACAATGGAAAATTATGTTTTTGAAGTATGGTGCAGGTGCAAAAATTATATCGGCAGGAATTCGAACAATATACATGTACAACTTTTTGCATATTTTAGGAAATCCAAATATTTTGTCATAAATATTTGCAATCTAATATCTTACTTTTATACTCATGTATATGTATACGTGTATTTCTTATGCTACCACGATTATTTAAAGATCAAAGAAAACCGTGTTATTCTCCAATAAATCACAAACCCCATCAAAAAATTATCAGATCAGAAACACGTATCAAATCTGTACAATTCAAATGCATGTTTGGCTGTAGAATGAAATACTTGTTAAGACCACATCGATGTGTGTCTTTTGCAGTATTTAAACACTGTAAATTGTTGATGAATGTCGTTTATTATAGCTAAGCGGGGCTATTCCACGGACCTCCCTACACATTTAAACAACGTGACTTTAGTCCCAATAGAGTAGTTAAACTGGAATATACATATGTATATTCATTATAACTGATCAAAACATATTACGAACAAATTTGTAATTTAAAAAGGCTATTTTTGATGTAACGAAAGCTCAAATCGCCTTTTTTCCAGACAGATAAGCAAACAAATTTTACCTCTGGTGTTAAATGGAACAGCGTAATCGAAAATTACCTAATTTGTCTCTCTATAGAGAAAACGATCAGCCGTATTTAGCGATTTTAGTAGACATGGAAGATTAGAAATAAAGTCCTCATTGTCGTGAATGATGCAGAATAACCTTTTCGGTCTCGAAATATTGTCTGAAATATAAAAGCCTCGGCTTTTATCTTTCAAAGTAACATATACCTCGGAGGTTATTCTGCAACATGAACATTCACGAAAACGCGGACTTTATTTCTTAAATCATTCAGCATTATTTTTCCATCATAAATTAAAGGCAATATTCGCTAAGACCCCCTTTGGGTCCATGGTTTGTGAAGTTCTTAAGAATTATGCAACAGTTTATCCATAAAAACCTGTTGTCATCCTGCTACAAAAAGAGTTTTCAAATTGGTTCTAGGATATGGTATACAAAGGGGTCACAGAAAGGTGAGAAAATATAAGTTTTCGAAATTTTTATTTAATTTTTCATCGATTTAAAAAATCAATTTGTATCAGAAAACTTAGAGCACAAGGTTGCCTGTCTACCAAATTTATATATAATTCCGTACACTAGCATCAGATGCATCTTGTATATAAAAATCTCAAATGAGCAAACCTTTGCTCTATTTTTCCCGAATTGAAAAATATTTCAAAATTGAAGAAATTCTACAAAATTGAGGAATTTTGGGAAATGTTTTGCACCCTCCTGTGGTCTCCGTGTAAGCTTTGAATCAAAATAAGAACTGCTTTTCAAACAAGCATCTTATTCACAACACACTCTGTAGCTATCAATGTTTTAACTCTGTTCTGATTTCCCATCAAATAAGGGGCCAGATTCAGTCGTTACTAAACCTTGTCCTTTGTATATTTAGGTTGAAGGTGTGTTGATAATTAGTTTTCAGAAGTTGTCATTATGTAGAAGTAATTTTAAATTGCAGTGAAATATGTTCAAACTACCATCATAACCACCACCAACAACAGCAACCAGAATAACCGCTTATTGTTTATATTTACCTTCGTCACAATTGTCTCCCTTCCAACCCGAGAAACACTCACATAATCCGGAACCCTGCATTCCACTGTCACAGACTCCGTTTACACAACTACAGGCTAAAAGATAGATTTTTACAATGTGATTGAATGTTTTAATAATCCAAAAGTGTTACATAACTGTTAGAATAATTTGTTAGGTCTTCTTTGATGATACAGAGCAGCAATTAAAATCGTTGAAAGTCTTAACATGCAAATTTCAAGGTATATAATGTAAGATCTGCGTGTATATCTAAACGATGCAAATTAAAGGAGTAACTTGCATAAATTGTACACTTGTATAATCTTACTTTCATTACAGTTTTCGCCATATACATTGCTATCCACGCATTTTTCGCAGGCATAACCGGTGAAGTTTGCCTAAAACAGGACATTTAGAATTATAACTGACAAACTTTAATAAAATTCTTTTATCAAAATGCTCTGCGAGATGTCCATTATTACTTAAATTATAACATAATAATTATATAGAAAGATAATTGTATGCATGCATTTAACCAAATCTTTTCTTTACTTTCACCGTTTATAAAAAAGCTGAAGTTTGATATGGAACTTATATTTTAGACAAAAACTTATGGAAGAAATGATTGATTTACATACTTGACATGCGCACTCTCCATTTCCGGAAATGGTGTCATTACAGGTACCTTTGTTATTACATATTTTCCAGTTATATTTTGGGCATGCTGTAATATATATTATAGCAAATATATGTAAATTGAAACAAACAATCAACACGGATTGACTTGGCAGAGCCTATATGTACGTTAAACAGGTCTAGGCGGCCTCTGTTTTTGGAGGATAGCTAGATTCAATATGGCAGCCAAATTTTTTTACCATATATGGAAATCGCAATGCAATTCGGATATTTTATCTTCTGTTTTAAGAATAACACAGGTAATTTTCAAATTCGTGCCTACCTTTAATCAAAAAGTGCAAGCACGAGAGTACAATTAAATAAAAGTTCAAACATTAAACTATCGATTGTATGTGGCGATTTGAGATTCTATGTCTAGAATTTTTACAAAACGCTTTCTAAGTTGGCACTTCTTACGATTCATTTCTACTTAATATTTCTTGTTATTTTGTTTAATATTTATGTTTTTTCCATATACCCTTTTCCCTCTTTAGACAAATAAACAGGCACTTAAATGCTCGAACAATACATACATGATATTATTTTCATTTACTTCAAAATTAGAGAAATTTTGGGAAACACAAAAGAAAACGTACTGTAAAGAAAAAATACACTCTGACTGATAATTTTAGCAAATAAAACAATTTAAAGTTAAAATAAGTATTATTTAGAGAAATCAAGAAAAAGCACCGCCACCCACTTTATAGCTGTGCAGCATCCAAATTCCTATATGAGGCCTCGACGGGGAGTATGCATCCGCAGTATATATATTTCCACGGACAACGTACGTTTCAGTCAGATTAGTTTTGTCAACGGGATAGACGTGATTGAATTTTATTCAGTCTTAACTGATAAAGATGACTGTTTAACCGTGCTGTAATGAATATTGATCAATTTATTTCAGGGTTCTTAAAATCTCAGTTTAATTAATAACATACAGACAGTTCTTCGATGGGCTTTGATGTCACAGATTTTTATTGTGTTATTGAAATGCGACATTAAAAACGAAGTAAGAGATGTATACATGTACTGCAGTCGTCAGAGATAAAGAGTTTTAAAAGATGATTTTTTTTTAAAAAAAAAGGTGGATTTTTAAGAAGGTACTTGAATCAGTTTGCACGAGAAGAGAGGAAAATGGAGGGTGTGCGCATTTCACCTAATGTATGCTGTATCCGTGAACCCATGGACTTAACTTTTATTTGAAAGGGACACAATAAAAGCAGGGAAAGCAAATATGTTTGCAGGGAATTATCCAACATACGATTTTTTCCGTAACTTTGAATTTTCTGTATCGTTTGGATCGAAATATAATGTGTATATTCTGTTAGGAATAATTCAAAAAAATGATTGAGAAATTTTGACATTATACATTGCTTCAAAATATTTCTCCAAAATTTCAATAGGGGAAAAAAATGACATTTGTACGTGCTTTTGATAAATTGAATCAAATTCATTTTTTGACAGTGCTGTATTTTAGTTGGCTAACACAACAGTATACAAGGCTGATAAAAACGGAATGTAGCTGTGCCCTCTGAGTCTCGTTGCAAACTTAATACCATCAACGTATGAAATTTAACATTTTATTTGTTTTGGTTGAAAAATCAGCGTAGACTGCCCTTTGTTTTAAAAAGTCCGGTAGGTGGCGACACCTCTATCCTCTGTTTTTAGGGGATAAAAACTATCCTCCAAAAACAGAGGCCGCCTAGACCTGTTAAATGAAAATCTTCATGTGTATCATCGATATATTTATTTCTTTGTATTAAATGTTGAATTAAAAAAATTGAATAAATATACATATATTCTATAGTCTGATGTAGATAAAGACACTTTTGCTTAATATTTAATCTACTGATTATTTTCTTTAAACAAATGAATTCATAGACTGAAGGGTGACTTTAGACTGCATGCAAATGAAGCCTGACATACATATATCCATGTAGATTTAGATTTTATGGATGATTTATATTACATCTTACACGCAATACAACTACATTTAGCCGTATGGCAAAGTGCATAATTTAGAGGAAGAGTTGCAGCGTAAGGAGGTTCGTCACTTGTTCGAATCAAAAATGAAGGGTATGGAGACCGGTCCTTGGGTTGAAATATTAGAAATCTAGTTCCTGAAGCGCAGAAGATGCAATCTGATCACATACTGCTCATTACTCAAAGGCCATAAGTGCCGAGAACAGATCTAAATTTGCAGCCCTCAATCGCAAATGATACATGGTTTCTCGATGTGAGAAAAAATATTCTAAAATGATGTTTAAAATGTTTAATGAACAAAAAGATTTTTCCACTTTTCCAGATTAAGATTTAAAATTAAAGTAGCTACAAAAGAATTCAATGATATTGTATATTGATTTCTGAAGTTATTACAGAGGCCGTTGTAAACAATATGCTAAATCAAGATAAATGTCTTTTTGTGTTGGAATCGCAGAGATTCATCCTTATGTTTTATTTTTGATACACGTTTCTTAAAAAAAATCTTATTTCTGCAATTTAAAGAATTAGGCTTTTTTTCGTAAATAGTAAGGCCCGGGACAAGAATCAAGAGCATACTATAAATTGGCACAACCCCATGCATATTTGAAGGCGTTATTTGATTGGTCAAAAATGTTCTAGAAATAAAATTAAACCAATCAAACCCCGCATAACATCTTCGGTGCAGTGTTAAGGAAATTAATTTGCTAGCTGGGTATAAATTTTTACTGGAAATACAAATTAAAAAAAATATTGATCTCGTGTTATCTCATGTTAGTGGTTCTTTTTACACATCATGTTGTCTTGAAAACTATTTCAAATTTAGTATTGTTTTAAAAAAAAATCAAAGTTCAACACATGAGCTGATGAAGAAGTAGAAAATATAATATGAATTTAGTTGTAAAAGAAATAATACACTGCAAGTCTAATTTCACACTCTCTTATATTAATAATTAGAGGCATCATATTGCATTTGATTAATATGCACTATTCTTTCAATTTACGCTAAAAATAAAAGTATAAAAACTTCAAGGTCAAGAGATAATTGTAATGGTATATACCTAAAAAAACACACAAAATTACTTTCATTAATGATAAATTAAAGGATTTTGTTAATTCAGACTTACCAAAGCAGTTAGGACCGTAATATTCGGCACAGCAATACGGAACATAAACTTTTTCTAGACAAATATGAGAACATCCCGACATTTCAATAATCCTCGGATTCGTTATATTTCCCATATTAAGTTTTAATTTACAATTTCTATGCCCATTGTCTGTCGTTAACTTTGTTGCATTCCTTGGGCAGTCGGCATTTGTATTATTAGAACACAAAACACATTTAGTATCAAAGCGTTTCGTTAAAATCTTTTCTGATTTGCAAAAATCTTTAGTATCTGCGATTGATAAATTAAAATTTACTGACAAAATTAATAAAATTGAAATAACACTATGTACATCCATAATTTAGTATCAACCAGCATCACATTTAAATGACTAGACTAAATCCTATGTAAAAATATATTTTCTTATTCATGAATGAAAATTTGTAACATTTGAAAGTCACGTGACATTATGACTATGAAACAGGACGTTTTCGGCAGTCACAAGACACTTATGTATCAGATTCTGAGACTGTGAAAGCCTAATTAATTACTAAACCTTAAGTGTTTTCCGTCTTAAAGTGGCGGTGTGTATATTTATTGCATTATTGTAAATCGTGTAAACCGTACACCGAAATAAGACAAAGGAAGTAAGCGTTTAAGGGATTACGATCGGGGAGCGATCCGAGGTTATTATGACGTTTTTTGTAGTGGAAAATTTTAAAACTAGATCAAATTTGTATCAAAATGTACCACTCACCATAATCACATTTCTGACTCTTACAGAACTTTTTAAAACGAGGTTAAGGGTCAACGACCTAGTTTTTTTGTCTTGAATTCTCAATCAATTAGCGACGATTGTCTTTTCCTTCTTCAGTTCATATAAAATTTGATTTATTCTTTTAGGAACATAAGTCGCAAATATAACATGAAGGATGAATTTTAATAACTAATAATTATTTACTATTTTCTCTTTCTTATTATCTAGCTTTAAGATTTTCTTGAAATATTCCAGAACAGTTGATAGTTTAACATGTTATCTAAAAATCTTATTTCTTGAATATGCAAAAAGTTATAAACATTCATTTCATAGTTTCCGGTCATTCATAAACAAGGAGGTGATTTTCCCTAAATTTACTTCAAATAAGAATAGCATCCTCTGTCTTCTATATTTATTTTTGAAAAAAAGATCTGAAAAAAGCCTCTTTTTGGTATATGTTATTTCTAACATCCTTATATTTGTTTGATATATGCAAGCTGATATTATTTGGTCTGGAAAAACGTTAAAAGAAATACTGTACGTGTACCAACACTTTCGTATTCAAAATTTAGCGCCAGCTGCAGTACTAGGTAATTAAGGTGTCGTTGACGTAATCATGGATTAGCGCTGCACATGTTCATTGATATCTTAGCGGATTTAATGAGTTAGCGCATCCTTGCAATTGTCCGCGCCAAAACCGCTAAAATTTAAAGACCGCTCGTTGAAGTACACAATTCATACAGTAATTATAAATAACTATATATAGTTTTTGAAATCATAAACGTGAACCATATTTTTTACTGTGTTTTGATAAATTTTAGAGTCAATCACTGAATCAGATAGTTAGATACAATTAAAAATAGACTGAAAATTGAGAAAATAATCTTTTCTTTTCATTTATTACAGAATTAAAGGTCAACATTTGTTTCCTTTTAAACAGAAGTCTATCAAAATTAACAAAGCGAAATTAACATTATTACCCAAATCATCAAGTTTGGAACAAAATAATTATTAATTAATAGCTACTTGTTTTATACATGTAAGTAGTCTTCCAGGGTAGGGATCACAATAGATTACATTATATATAGTAAATTTAAATCACAATTTCCCTTTATTTTACTGAAATCTAATTCGTTACATCCGTAAGATTTACAATATGCCTAAAATCTGCATGGAAAATCGTCACTTCGTTCAAAGCTTCAATTCATAATAAGCGTGTTTGCTATAAGCCTGTTTAACTTTCGTCATTTTACTGGGAAGAAATATTGTCAGCTTTCTAAGAAATCTCTCGTCGGAAATCTCTCTTTTTATCGACAAGACATCCTTTTTGGGGCCTCAAAATAATTGTAAAAAAAGAGGTAAGGTCCATGTACAATCATCAAATGGTTGTTACAATCAAAGTCTTCATGTGGCTTATATACAGGGATATTCATTTTAAAAACGTGAAACGTTTTAGGGAAGACATATTAAACACTTTTTGAAAAATGCAACTTAACATCATTGTAGAAAACATGCTACTGTATACAATTTCCTTAATTGTCTCAAAGTGGGACTTTCTATACCTACATGTATTTAAGTTTATTTTATCTAAACTAAAAAGTATTTATTTCTATATTTGAAAACAATGCTAATGCCCGTTCAGTTTTGCAATAACATTGAGCTTGGTCATAAATGTTGCATGGTACGCGAAAAAAAGCATCTGAAGGTAAATGAGAAAATCTATCATAAATGTTTCTCCACAATTTTTTTTTAATCAAAAGCACACATATTATCATACTTTGCCTCCTTCAGAATGATATAGCCAATACGGAAGTATACGGAAGTATATTAAAAAAGAAAACACACGCAGTACGCGGTTTGACATGATTTGAAACATATTTGTAATCAACTTAATGCATCCCTCATAAAATTTGTTCATAAACACTCTTTCATTGTTTATAAACAAGAAGTAAGCTGACACAAGCGGACACCATTTGGGTGGTCGACTTCCTGCTACGAACAAAGATCACATATCCAAGCAGGTTATAGCATTTGAGACAAGGAAACAACTGTTTATAAAAAAAATATTCATCCAATATGGAGAATGCTGTAGGTAAGTTGAAATAATCACTATGATTTTTTTTATCAATAATTAACTCGCGTAATAGCAAAGGGTATTCACTTATATAATTATATAATAGTGTTGCATTATGCATGCACTATGCCTAAATAGTAGACAGGGTTTGACACATGGTGCACGAGCCGGAGGCGAGTGCACTATGTGTCAAACCCTGCCTACTATTTAGGCATAGTACATGCATAATGCAACACTATTGTTATTATTATGCTGACTGTTGTAATTGTTTATGTGGCAATCCATTTGACTTTTTCTTGAAAATATCGGTGCTAACACAACGCACTTGCAAGAACTCAAAGTTATGGAACGCCGTCACTGCCTTATAGCAGAACACTGCGATTGCATTGCGTCAACCCTCCATTACATTATGTCAACTCTTTATGACATTTACTCACACTGGTATTGCATTGTGTCAACTTTCCTTTACATTATGTCAACTCTTTATGACATTAACCCACACTAGTATTGCATTGTGTCAACCTTCCATTATATTATATCAACTCTTTATGACATTAACCCACACAACTATTGCATTGTGTCAACCTTCCATTACATTATGTCAACTCTTTATGACATTAACCCACACTACTATTGCATTGTCTAAACCTTCCATTACATTATGTCAACTCTATGACATTAACCCACACTACTATTGCATTGTCTAAACCTTCCATTACATTATGTCAACTCTTTATGACATTTACCAAAACTACTATTGCATTATATCAACTTTCCTTTACATTAAGTCAACTCTTTATGACATTTACACACACTACTATTACATTGCGACAACTTTCTTTTACATTATGTTAACTTCTTTATGACATTTACTGACACTTCAGTTATATTGCGTCAAACTTTCACTGCATTATATCAGCTCTTTGTGACATTATGTCAAAAGATTTTTACGTGGTGTTAAGATACATTTATATAATTTCAACTCAGTATTACATTACATGCACTCTCTACTATTTGGTCTGAGTAGTTCATTACCTGATGTGAATTTATCTTAATTTGATATCAAGTCGCTATAATGCGATGTCAGAATTTCATTACATGATGTCAAAAAATTGTCACATGTGGTCAATTCTTTTACTACATTATGTCATCAATATGCTACATGACGACGTGAATCAATTTCATGATGTGAATTTGCCCTTACTTTTTAACAAATCGTTCTTACGTTATGTCATTGTGTCTTAACATTGTGTCAAAAATGCTCAGCCTCTTGTCAGAATACATGTATCTAAGGCTATTTCATATTGATCTGCTGTGGAAAGCTCATGTTATACTGTGCGCACTCTTCTACATTATGTCGATTCACTATTACGTTATGCGAACACGGGTATCCTCGGCCTTTATATGCGCATAACGTATTTTCCGCGTTCCGCAGGCACAAAAATGGCGGGAAAGAAAACAGTCGTAGAAGAAATTCTCGGCGATTTGGGAATAGCATATTAAAATGAAAACGTAAAGCGACAAATGATTGACAATCTTGAAACGTGCAACGCAAGGCCTTCACACTGCGACTTTGAATTAATTTCAATGGCGTTTACTTTAATCTGATAATTAAATAAATCAAATATAATGAGTAGAGCAGCATTTTTTTTTATTTTCATATTGAATTGTTTTTTTTGTTTTGTTTTTTTTTAAATAGAAGTCTTAAACTTCTTATCTTATTAAGAACATTGTCATATGCTTTTTATCAGTCTCTACCTCTCCTTTCTATTTTTAAAAGTGTTAACACACAGTATAACAAACGTGCAACGGTGGGTTGGGGGTTGGGGCAGGAATCCCGTCCTTCCATCTTTAGTGACCAAAATAAACATAAGATTAATAAATTTATTGGTTTACTTTGTAGGACATTGCTTAAGATTAGCTGAATTAAGTTGAAAACTTTTTTCTATAAAACTATAAAGCCTAAGAGCTTCTTCCCCCCCCCCCCCCCTTGGTCTCCAACCATATACCGTCCCCCTTCCTTGTTCAAGATTCCCATATCCGCCACTGATATGTGCCCATGCATGCTTGCTAAGGCATATTCAACTGATTAAGACTGATTTATAGATTTTTGTAATAGAATTCTGGCACTGGAATTGTTGAAAAAATTACTAATTCCAGTGACGTAGCATCTTCTTTGAAAGGGGAGCCGAGGTCAGCCAGAAAAAAATTCTACTCGAAACAAAAAAAGTCCTAATTTTTTTTTCAAGTTTACTACATTACTCGTAGTGGACTATACTTCAAGAAAAAGTGAGGATGGGGCTGTGCTTTCTATGAACATTACATTTTCTATAGTAAAGTTATATATGGGAAAAGAGGGGGGGGGGGGCTGATATCATATGCCTGAAATTCATCCTAATCAATGATGAGCCCCCCCCCCCCTTCTCTTACCAGTCATGAAAACACGGTCGTCAACAATCATTATACAACTTTGAGATAATGAAAATGTATTTTTACATCAGGTAATGAACTTTTGGAATCAACATGATGAAGAGTTAACACAATATAAAGATGTTTTTAAATCACATTAGAAAAGGTTGACATAACGTAATTATATATCCACATCACGGAATGGAGT